GAATAAGAGGATGGTTCAAAGAATTAAACCTGGAGACTGAGATGAAAAATTATCTTGTAGTCAGACCTCTCCACCCTCCATCCTGGGTTTTGGTTGTTTTTGGTTCATTCAACTTTACACATTGTTCACTTTCGCTATTAGGCAATTGTGATGCATTTGTACAGCAAGACAGATTCCAACAGGTTCAGTTCTGGATCAAAGAGCACTATAGACATTACTCACTAGTGCATATAATCATTTTCAATTGCAAAGGATGTTTAAATAGGTGCCCTGGCCTACAAACATCAAGACATTTTATTCAGATGTTGACAGAACAGAAATCAAATAAGCCTTCTCAAGTTTTTTTTTGCTTGCTTGATTTAATAGCAGTTCTGTCACCTGCAGGACAGGCAGACATTTTCCAATGTAGACTAATTGCAAACTGTTAATACTCTTGATACATAAATGCCATATTAAGTTTTATTCATTGCTTTGTGTCCACTGATGTAAATATGTTCTAAGAACATTAATTGAATCAAACTTAATTCTGGCAAAGACTGGCATAGGCAAAATATCCCACAGCACTTGGAAAGACTTGGAAGTCCAAAAGTTTCATATGAAGGCCCTTCTGAAAATGTTACCCTAAGCCACATACCCGAAGTCACTGAATGATGCATGGAAAAGTCAGGAGCCCTGTCCTCACTCCTGTTTCCTGTCCACCTGGCAACATTTTTTCATAGCACTTGACCAAGCAGGCTGTCGCCTATGAAAGCTGAAGGAGCCTATTTCTCTGAAGGAGTTAGTCTCTAAGGTGCCACTCTGCCCTGCTTTCTGCCTGATGTCAGACTAACATAGCTAATTACCTCTGCCTTTTTAGAACAAGGCAATGGCCAATCAGACCAGATACCTGCAGTGATGGTCTTATGTAATTACACATGGCAGGAGGTAAGATTGTGGGACTGTGTGCCAGATCCCAACGCACCTTATTGCCGGTGTGGGGGGAGCCCAGTCCTGAGCTCCCCCTGCACTAGCAAGGAGCAGGCTCCCATGGCTGAGAGCCCCATGTGCCCCAGTTCAGGGACTCCTAGCTGTGCAGGCACCCCATCCACCCCTGGGGTGGGGGTATTGCTGCAGCTATCTCCCTTTCCCAGGGATGCATCAAACACCTGGGGTGGGAGGATCACCCCTGCAGCAATCTGCCTTGCCTGGGGTGTGTGAAACCCCTGGGAGCAGAGGATGGCCTTAGAGTGATCCCCCCACCTTTGGGATATGGGAAACCTGTGGGGTGCAGAGATCACCGGGAGGCATCCTGCAGGGCCTAGCTGAGGGGTGCTATCCAGACCCAGAGTCCACAGCTGCTGGGGTTGAGAGTCAAGCAATTGTGGGACTCTCAGTCATGGCTGGGTAAGGGATGCCCACGTGGCTGGGAGCCCTGTCAGCTGATGGGGCTCCCAGCTGCAAGAGACCCTGCTACACATGCAACTTAAAGCCAGACAGCAGCAACCAGCTATAAAGTAAGTACACATTTTTGAGGTCTAGCTTTATAGCTGATTCAAGTTTTTATCATGTGATAGCTACTTTGCACGTGTAGCTGGTCTCAAGGTAACCGCGCAGTTAACCAGGTAATTGCATGATACCTGTAATGGGTAGAGGGGGCCGAAGAGGCTCCGTGTGTGGGAGCTTGCTTTCACAGCAACAGCAATTTCTCACCGAGCACCGGGAGAAAACAGCAGCCTTGTTACTGTGTCAAAGAAAGCTGATGAACAGCAAAGGCTGCCTCTGCTCTCTTCAGTAAAACACCCTGACTTAGGAAAGAAAAAATAATTATGCCAAAGGTCAGCCTGTTCCAGGGCAGCTTGTTCCTGCTTTGAAGAGAAGCAACTAGTGGTACATTAAAAAACAAAACAAAACTGAAAAAACCCCCACACATGGTTGTTACACCTGACGGACTCGCACAGATAAGAGCCAGCAGCGGAGCGGCACAAAGGGGGTTTGCGACCTCGCATGACCTCCCTTGAACTTCATCCAAATTTTCTGACAATCTCCTCCTACTGTTCCTTGCTCTGCTGCATCGTGGCTGAAATACTCTGCATGCATTTTAGCTCTCGTCTTGAACACCACATGGCATTTCACAGCCCAGCGTGCAGAAGCAGGTCTCTGGGAGCGTTGGGTATCTCCACAGAGGCACGGTTCTCTTCTCCCGTACCCTGACACCCCTCACGTCAGTGGGATTTCTGCTAGGGTAGGAAAGGGAGAATTGTTTTAAGTAGTAAGATGTTGGCCTGGAAGTTGAGATATTTGGCCACAGACTTCCTGCATGAACTTGGTCAAGTCCCCTGAGGTCAGACCAGAGGTGACTTAGGCACGGGGACGCTGAAGAGCACCCAGCACACACAGCTTTCAGGTGCCTGGCTTCTGGAGTGCAATTCACAGCCCCAGCTCAATGCCCCAGTGTCCTATGCAATGCAAAGGGAGAATCCATCACCTAGGAACGGGCGACACAACAGCCTGCACACTGGGCGGGGAAGCACCAAAACTAGCCGACAGAAATACAGAGGACAGGGTGGTGTCTGAAATCTTGCCTTTCTCCTTGAATGAGGGAAGACGGGCGAGATGGATCTATAGCCCCAAACCACGTACTGGACCTGGGCATCTAATTGGTCTCTTTGGGTACACACATGCAACTCGCTTTCCTTCTTAAACATAGTGGGAGGAAGAGGAGAGGTGAGGCTGCTACCAACACCACCCACCGTAGAGGAGCAGAGCAGGTAGAGCACCTGCTCAGGATGTGGGAGTCCCAGGCTAAATGCCCTTGCAAACCCACATTGCCCACAAGAGTATCCAAACCAAACGAGTTATAGGCAGGACGGGGGTGGAGGGAAGCACCCTTCACCCCACCTGTTGAAGCATGGAGCTGCACAGAAATGAAGGCAAGGCAGAGCAAGCAAAAGAGAGCCTGAGCAAAAGGGAGCAAGTCATGTATTTGAATGGCCATGGCTGCCGTGTTTTGTGCTCAACTCAATGCTGCCTAACCCATACTGACATGCTTAACGTACACTTCTTCAGGCAGGGCCTCCAAGGGGACCTGGATGCAGTGATACCTAGTTGGTGCATCCCCGGTACAAGACAGACGCCCGTCGGGCTAGTTGGGAGCCTTGTGGGCATCGTACACTTGGAGTTCAGGGTTAAGCCCCACTTTGAGGAATGTCCTTGAGTAGATCTGGTCCTCCCATTTCTTTAGGCTGAGCTCCAGATCTCTAACGCCGAGAACCTGCCTGCTTCACAGGTGCTACACACTGGAGACTGGGAGGTGTTCAGACACGGCAGCGACTGGGACCTCAGACTGACCGGTGAGAGAGAACTGGCCCACAAATACTGAGGACAAAGAGGACAGGAACTTTTTTTCAGGAGAAAAGAAACAATCCCATCTTTTAACCATTCTAGTCCCCGGCTAACGACATCCCCAGGGAGGATTTCTGAGGCTGAAACAAGGAGTGAATCATTCCAGCCTCCTGACAAAAAGAAAAGGGAGGTGTACTGTACAATGAACCGTGAGCGGTGCTTGCCAGCTCTAAGATTGAAACGAGGTGTGCCAAAGCCACCACAATGCTCCCTGCTGACAGGGACAAGGAAAAGTTGCCAAAGCAGCTACTATGGAGCAAGTTCAGCTGTAGCAGAGAAAGTGCCAGGGCTTAAATAGGATATTACGTACACATTTGCACACACCAAATGCTGGGTGGTGGGTGTGGAGGTGGGGAACTGTTACTGATTTTAGATTTTAAGACCCTCGGGGCAGGAATGGTTTGTCTTGTAATGTCATGTTCCAAGGCTATCGAGGGTGCTGATTAAATCCCCATAAAATATACTCTCAAACACGACCTGAAAAGGCTGTTTTTAAGGTTGCAGAATCAAGTGCTCAGTTCCAGAACCGGGGTTGCCTTTGAAGGGGAAAACTTCAGCTGAAATGTTTTAAGTTATAAGTAGCTGAAAACCAGATCTTAAATTGGGAACTGCCAGGCAATCAGCAGTACAGTCTAGCTGGTCACGGGCAAACAAGTCACAGTGAGCTAAGGGGACTTACTGCACCTTACCTGCTCCATAGTAAATTATATGTGCCTGCTCTTATCCTAAAGTAAGTGAAAGCTAAACTGCAGCAAATTATCCTCCTTCATTCAGGACTAAGTTACCATGAGATAGTTACCACTTGACGCAGGCTAAGCATGGGCACACATTCAGTGACCGCAGAGAAGCTGATGTAGGTTAATTCCCCAACTCTTTTAACTCGCTAACTTGCACAGTATGTTTGTCCATATACTTATGCCTGCTGAGAAGCTGGACTTAAAATTAGAAAAAAAATCCATCAACTTCAACAGTAGTATATTGAGTCCAAGTAAATACAGTGCTGTTCTCTTGCAGGTTATTTATGTCATTTTAAAAAACTTTTATGTATATGAAGCAGAGGATATGGCTGTTCAAAAAACATTTAGAGAGCGAGGCGGAGAAAGAGAGATCGGAGCTGCTATGCAGAAGTGGAGAAGACAATGGTACAGCAGACCCTAAGTGCGTTGGGATTTGTCAAATGCCACCAATATAATCTGCAGAGAACAGCAGAAATCAGAGACAAGACACAGCCCTCCAGCATCCCCTAAATCTATATCCCTTCCCAGCACAGACCTGCTTTTTGTGGCACATTTGCCGGTATTCTAGCCGAGTTTTCAAAAGTTTAAGTAATGGCACTTATGCCATGTCAGCAAGGTTTACGTTTCATGTAAGCAAGGTTACAGTATCATTTTAGGGCTGGCTAAAAACTAGACGTTCAACATTTTCTTCTGATTTTTCTACCTAATGACTTGCAGTGAAAAACTTCTTTCATCTGAAGTCAGTTCGATTCAAAACAAAAAAATTCTTTGTCCTAATCCAAACAAGTTTTGACATTTTTTTCTGCTTTTTCCCCCTCCATTTTGTATTGATTCATCAGAAAGATTCAAGTAATGTGAGAAATTACACAAAGAGACACGATTTTTTTTTTTAATCATTTGGGCAAATTACATTTTTTCCAGTCAAAAGGATGATGAAATTAAGGGTAAATGATATCCCTCCCCCAACTTCCCAAAGAAACAATGTTCTCTTAAAGATGCTGGAGTAACTCATAATACACATTTTATGGAAGGCTTGAGAAAAATGCACATTTGTTCAAGTTTATAATCACATTGTTTTCCTTTAAGTGAAAAAAGTGTCATCCATCAGCTAGTGACAAATAACGCGAAGTGAATTGTACCTTGACTATGCCTACAAATTAAAAAAGAAAAGCATAAAATCATGGTCTGAGGGTGATGTGGAAAAACAATCGCTACAGTTGGTTCATAATTTTGTTATACTGTTGTAATTTTGCGGCAATGCATCAGAGCAATCTGCCCCACAAAGAGAATTACAATATGGCCTGTGCGTGCCAGTAAATGCCAGGCATGTCAAGTATTCATGCTACATGTTTGGCTCAGTGCTATGGCCAAATGCAGCTCTTACAGATTTAGATCATTGGGCGACTGTTTGAATGCATATTCTGGGGGGAAAGTTTGACACTTTGGTTTAAAAAAAATCAGGATACGGTGGAAACTACATCTGCAGAATTTGGCTTGTATACATCTACCTGCCCGCAAAAGGAAGGAGGTATCTGTTATCTGGATACAGCATTACATGGCACATACAGTCCCACTGATAGTCCTGTGGAAAGAAATCCTCAGCTGTTGTAAATTGGTGTAGCTCCTTACGGTCAACAGAGCCAATTTATATCAGCTGAGAATTTGGCCCTTAGTTTCTTTTACCTAGACTCAACGATGTATTAACAGGAGTGCCACTTGAAAAATCAAGGGAAGTGATTCTTCTCTATTCAACACCAGTGAGGCCCTCACCTGTGTACAGTTCTGGACTCACCCTTCAAGAAGGGTGTGAACACATTAGTAAGAGTTCAGTTCAGAGCAACAATTATTAGAGGCCCGGGAAGCAAGAGTCATGAGGAAAAGCTGAAAATGCTAGGGTTATTTAGTCTGGAGAAGACAAGACCGCGAGAGAAGCTGATAACAGTCTTAAGTACCTGAAGGGTAACTATAGAGAGAACAGAGATAGGCTTTTCTTTGTGGCAGTACAGAACAGGACTAGGAGCAAGGGACTCCAGATGCAATAGAGGATATTTAGGTTGGAGATAAGGAGGAACTTTCTGACCATGAGGGTGGTCAAAATCATTGGAACAGGCTACCTAGGAAACTGGAATCTCCATCTTTGGTATTTTCAAGAGCAAGTTGGATAGACACTTGGAAAGGATGGTTAGTCAGGAATGATCCTGCATTGAGCAGGGGGTTGGATTAGATGACTTTGTGAAGTCCCTTCTGGCCTTACTTTCCTATGATCCTATTCTCCCCACCGCTCCTCCCAATTCTATGGGATGCTTAAGATAAAGGAGGCATAGATAAGGTCATGAACTAGCATGAAATTTCTTTCTGGGTTTCACTGCCACTAGTATCGAGTCACTTAAGCTGTGTCTACACTAGGTCATTCAGCAAGATATTGCCAAAGTTGCTAGCACCTCTTCAGTTCCCTTTAAGGTACCAATAGCAGAGAATACAGCTGCTGCTCCTTTGTGCATTGCAGGGACCCATTATGGGCTCAAGCTCCCACATTTCTCATGCCAGTAAAGCCAAACTAGTGATACTAATGTTAAGAAAGGTTTACAAAGTGTTCCTCATGGAGACATGGTTGGGGGGGGGGGGGTTTGCTTGTGAAGGAAAGGAATAACATGCAGTGGGGTGTTAAGGATAAAAACTCATTATCCAACCAAATGCATTGATCAAAAAGGACTTTGAAAGGCATTTCCTGTTGGTGCTCCACTTTCCCCTTCTTCATATGGATCAATGGAAGGAAACCATTTTTCAAAGATTTTCAAATGCAGGACAGAATCTCGCTCTTCTGAATGTCATTTTGCTGCAGAGAAATAATGTGGCAGCATGTGAAAGTACCATTTGGAACCAGTTTTAACCTACAGACTTTCCACAACATCAAGACACTTTGCAAAAAAACTGCCTAGGTCTGTAAAGAAGGCATAAAAATTGCCACAGTCTCTGCCAATCTGATTTGTGAAAAATTAATTCCCAGCAATTAGTTTTACCCCTCATCATGTGAGCAAGATGCACTAGAAGTAGTCAGACATCCAAGAGAAAAGGATCCTTTACATAATTTAGCAGCTCTGGTCCACCTTTCCCTCCTCAGTTGTGGCCAATCTCAGATACTTCAGCAGAAGGCAAAGTCCCCTTTCCCAGCTTCTGCAGTATGGTGTTTGATAATAGCCATTGTCCTAATGCAGAACAGCATGTATTAGGGATACACTGAAAGTAGTGTACACAACTCTGCTCTCCCCACAGCCTATAAAAGAAAGGAAAGAACTGGGAGGATACAGATCCCAAATGACCATTAAGACCGATTCCCTGCATGTGCGCGCGATAGAATTTCTCCCAGAAACTAGATTACCCACATTTTAAAGAAAGCTACTTAATATCTCATGTCAAAGACTCCAAACTATAGTAAGGCCATCACCTTCCCTGCTAAGCTGTTCCAATATTTAATTCTTTTGCTTCCAGGAAACTGCATCTTATTTAAAGGTCAAATTAAACGTATAACACCAATTTCCAGCCGCTAGATCTCATGCCCTTTCTGCAAGACTGAAAAGCCTCCCATTACCTGGGCAACCACCTATGCCCAGAGATCAACTCACCTCTCAGCCTTCTTTGTGATAAACTCAACAGTTGAGCTGTTTAACTTTGCTCTCCAGGCCATGGGTTAATTTTGCAGCTGTCCTCTGAGCTCCTTGTAGTGTTTCCACAGTATTGGAGAAGGTATCAGAACTGGACAGAGTACTCTTGTAGTGGCCTTACCTATGGTGCATTCAGAAGTAAGGCTATGTCCTTACTTTTGCTTGTTTTTCCCCCACATAACACACCCCAGAATTGCAATGATCTTTTCCCCCTGGAACTGCACCATAAGATGGCTATCTACAGTCTTCTTCCATGTCACTGATTTCCAAGACAGTCTCTCCCAACCTACATATATAATCTACATCCTTGGTTCCCAAATGAATTACTTTGCACTTGGCTGGATTAAAACACATGTGGTTGCAACTGTGACCATTCAACCATATGATTCCATTCATTCTGTAATAGTAACTTGTCCTCACAATACACTGTACTGGAGTGGTTTAGCTTACATCCTCACTACAAAGGATCCTATCATCCAGACAAGCCAATAGGCTCGGGTTTAAAGAACGACCAAACACTGGTTTTAGCTCTTTATAGATGGAGAGGAAGTTATTAGGAATGACTCCTCAGATAGATCTGCAGTAAAGTTATGCCCCAAGTGAGTTACACTGCTCGAAGTTATTGGCTGAACTGGTAGAACAAAGGATGGGGTAGGGGTTAGACTGGAGTCATTAGCTACATAAACAGGGGAAAATGAGCTGTAACTAGTTAGTACTCATTTCTGTGCACTTGTGACATTCACAATCACTTCAGGCTGCACATCTGAGAGAAAGGAGCCACTGTTACATGATTTTCTCTCATTCTCACTATTCAGATTCTCAAGAATTTTCCATTGCTACAGAAAAACTGGAGTTTGTTTTGTTCAGGAAGTTGGTTTTTTTTAAATGTATATAGGCAAGTAGCTTTCCCACTGTCCTTTCTAGTTTCCTGTGGCTATGGGTTTGGCAGTCTCTGGATGAAGCTTATGGGCAGTAACAAGGGCAGAGATAGATGTGCTTCACTGTGATATCACATGGTATTCAATTCCCTATGGCAGCAAGGCAGGCAGTCATCAGTTAACCCGTGGTGATGAGTTGGCCCTTAGATTTCTTTAGAATCAGGATTGGCATGAGGCAGCTCAATTCCTGTGGTTGTGGGAGACCCCTAAAAAAAATAAAAGTCAAGGTGGAGTTGCTTTTGCCACCCATATTGACATTTGCACACCAGGTCCGATTTTCACTCCTGGGCATCATGAAAGGACAACAGAAGACTGGATCGGTTCTGCTGGTCTCACTCTCCCAAGACAAATCCTTCTCGAAGCTCTGAGAGCAGGCTCAGAAAATGAATCACAGTTTTGTACATTTTTTAAGCCAAAAGGAACCACTGAAATCATCTTGTCTGACCTCCTGCATAATAAACAGATGGCAGAATTTCCCCAGCAATTTCTGCATCAAGCTTAAAAAATTGTGGAGCCAAGAGGAAGCGTCAGAACAGTCTCTAGCCTGGATGTGACAACTTCAAAAGGTTTAATAAGATGCTAGTCGCCCCTGTTCAGCACAGGCTTGTTATTCCATAGGTTTTCAGTATCTCTTTATGGCTGCATGCAGCTTGCCCTTTTGTTTCCTCCGTCCACACAAGCACTCTCTCTAATTTAGCCCTTTCAGAAAACAAACAGAAGTAGAGAAAATGGAGATTTCAAGCAACAAACATTAGACAAGGACATGTCAACAAAAGGATAACAAAATACCTCCAAGTAACCTTTTGTTATAGCCATATAATTGAAATCTGACATTAAAATGCAATTCAAGGTCCACTTGTTTTGTCACATGAGATAAAACTAGGGAAAAATTATCTTGGTTAGAAACAACAATTCTCCAAACGCCAAACATTATTCTATACAGACAGAGATTCTGGGCTGGAAAAAAAAAAAAACACCTTTTCTAGCACTTGAAAAGCATGACAGCTCCACGCTGATAAACACTTCCAGCGCAGGGACCTTGCAAGGCCAAACCAACACGTTCTTCAAAACCATTCATCAGAAGCCGCGTTCACTTGAAAACATTTCTCTGCTGCTCATATCACACGTGAGTTCAGCATTTCATGAGATGCCGTGGCAAGTCCAACCATTCCAAAACAAAACCAGCGTGCGACTTGTTGCAGGCTAGGTATACGCTGAGCCTCCAACTAATGCTAGTCCTTCTCGAACTCTCAAGTCAGCCGAGATCTTGTCTATATCTATCGGTTCTTGTGTCACAGTAGCGTCAGGTAGGTTTAGGATAGGCTCCTTCTTCTGGCCGAGCTGTGTCTATATCAAGGGTGCCCACCATCGTAGCTACAGGAACAGCAGAAGCCCCATAAATGTAGGCTATGGGCTCAGTGACAGGCCTGGGAAACAAAGACCTCCTTGTCCACAGGCTATAACAATCTGGCAATGGCACTGCATGCAAGATCCTCCGTGTCTACACTGCTCCACCAGAAGGCATCATCCTCTAAGATGGGAAGGGAGTTTGGCTTTTGTGTTAGCAGTCTTTTTCCTTGCATTTCATTCCTGCAGCACGTGAGGATCTATAGGTAACTGCATTCATGGGTAGTGAACCCCAGCCAGGGAGTTAATTTCAATAGTTTCTTTCAGTGCTGCTGTCAGACAGACACTCTCTTGCTCTTTGTTCACTGTATTACTCACTGCTAGGCTTTAGCTAGATTTCATCCTAAAGAAGAAATCTTCAGGAAAATCCCTAGTGTGAGGCTCAAAGAAATTCCAAGAAGCACGGATACAGCCCTTAGCAAAGAAAAGGTGGTCTGGCTGTTACGCCTCTCCACGCGGCTCTTGGGGAACTCAGTTTTAGGTTTTTGTTCTACTACAGAGAGTTTGTGTCTCATCTACAGGGCAGTCAAAGGTGTACGGGTAGCTGGTGTAGATGTACTTGAGCTCTTTTAAAACTAGATAGCTCAGTTATCACTAGCATTGTAGTAGTGGCAGTGTACAAACCACCCTGAGAGAACCCACTGGAATATAATGTATACTAATCCTCACAGGATTTTCTTTAATTTAACTCAGTTTTTTAAACCAGGGAAAAATGTGTAGACACAAATCCTTGGATTCTATAGGCTCGTCAGCAAGAACCCTGCACTGGGCGTGGGGTGCAGGTAATATCCCTGTCAAATCCCTGGCATCTTGCTTCTCTTGGTCTGTAGCCACAGAATTGTAGCACTTGTGATATATTCCTACTGCAACGTCTAGTGTGCAACGTGCCTTCTGAGGCTCTGGGGAAACAAGAAACAGAGCCAGACTTTCAAAGAATCAGTCGCAAGTCTTCACTCAAATTAATGCCTTACCTTGTGTCAAATAAATACAACCATTAACATAATGCAGTTGACCGTGAGGAAGCACTGTGCATGAGCCTGAAGCCCCATACTTTCTATTCTTGACACTGAAATCAACTGGTAGCTCTCCCTGACTTTTTAACTGGAAAAGCAGTTAGTTTGCTTTCTGCCTTTCTTTCAGCCCACACCATGACCTGCCTGCTTTTACTTCCCATTTCTCATAGACCAGCACAATGTTGTCATCACATGATTGGGCACCATCCCAGGTGTCATCTGGATAAAACACAGGGCCCCTCCTCTCAGCTCCACTGAAAAACCTTTTAAATAGCAAGAACCGGTTTGAGGAAGAAAGTAGAAACTGGCCAATGCATTGTGCAAACAGAAATTGGTCATCCTTGATAGGAACAGTCATGGTTTGTCTGGAATAGGCAAAACCACAGAGGAACCATTCTGGTTCCTATTAGTCTTCATGGAAGTCTCTTTTCTGTTTTTAAACAAAACTAACATTGGTCTTGGCCCCTTGACAACATCCCTTTAAGACTGTCTTTCGCTGAAAAATGCAACTTTATCAGTTGAACCCCAGATGTGTTTGTGAATTTGACTGTTGCATCCTTTTCCTTTGAACTCCTCAACCGTTACATACACAGCCCCCCAACTGGTCAAGCCAGTTTCCTCCTCGATGGGCTTTGTTCCCAGGTTCTGGGAAGATAAAAGCCATAACAGGCCTGCTGTCCCACCTACCCACTTAGACTGATAATTGCAGTAGAAAAATGATTATCAAGCTTGGCCAGAGCAACCACAATGCTATTCAACAGGGGCCAGATGACGGTGTATCTTTAGATGCATGTTAGAACATTCTCTGTGCCTTGGTGATCTGGTATTGCCCCTGTCCTGTCCACTCCTTCCTTTTGGCCTTGTCTGTATTAGTCTTTTTGTCTTAATGTTTCTTACTATTCCTACTACCAATGGCAGTAAGAAAGGGAGCCTAGTGAAAGAAGGGCTCTAGGTGGTCAGTGGAATTTTAGATACCATGTGGTCCAAGCCTACTCTATGCAGGGTTAGATGACCAATAAGCCAGGGGGTGGTCTATGCTGGCAGTCCCTTCCAGAAGGAAAAGTCACAGTGGATACAGCTTTTGCTTCATCCCTTCCATGATGGCAGTTTCACAAAAGGAGAAGACAGATCCTATGATCATTAGACCAAGCCTCCACATAAACTTGCATTGGTTTAGCTGAATGAAAACGGAGCGAAGTCTCCATTTTAGTTAAATCAGTGTAACTCGGTGCTGAAGCCCTTCTATCCAAAGGGAAAGATGGCAGTGGCACCTCCTCAGATACTCCAATAAGCACCAAATCTCGCTCCCTCTGAGGTCACTGACATCAAGGGAAGCCGGTTTGGCTTTCAAAGTAAACAGCCTCAGATGGAAAGGTTCACGTGGTGTATTGCTTTTGCTTGACCTCCCTTACAGTTCTCTCGAGCAGGCTTCCTTTTCCTCCTGCTTCTCTACCTTCGCACGCCTTCTGAAGCCTTCCAAGCTGGCCTCTCTAGACAAATCACCACTAGGAAGAAATCACGCTATGTACGACAGGCTCAAGCTATCATTGGAGAGCATACCAAATCCAGGGCAGATGGGGCCACAGAAGGTTATTGATTGGAGTGTGCACCATTTTTTACTTTTTACGATAGGAGTCCCTGACTGTGGAGCTAGATCATAATTCATAGGTACCAACACTTTGAGAAATGCCGAAGGAACAATCAGCAGCACTCACTACTGTAAAAATGAGACTGAATTCAACTTTCATGCACAGCAGAGACAGAAAAATGCTTATCTGAAAGATGCTCAAGTTACTGGTAGACAAAAATGGCCTCAATGGTCTTGGTCTGCACAGTGCTGCTTCTATTGCTGCACACAAAGCTTAAAATAGGGGGTAACAGGTATCAAAGGGGAAAAAAAGAGAGGTTGTGAAGGGTTTTTAGCAGTCAGTGGTGGAATGGGTTTCAGTGCTGTGCAATGTGCTGAAATGCAGCACTCTTCATTGAACCAACATGCTGCAATATATTAACATTCTTCATTATTCCCATTGCCTTGCATCACGCTTCAGTATATGATGCAGTTCGCATGGATTCCCATGGTTTGGAAGCCTGAAATTGAAAGGAAAAACAAGCAGGTGATTATATTTGCATTTGAGATTCGCAATTAATAAACCAATCCCCAAATCAGTTGGCAGGAGGTAGAATAGCAAAAAGGAAAACTGCCAACTTGGAATGCAAATTGTGGCCCAACAACTATCATAAGCAGCAGATAAGATCCCTAGTATTAAAAGAAGTTAGTCAAAGCAAATTTTTCACTGGTTTCCAATGTATTCACATCACACATTTGACAGCAAGTTGAGCAGAATCAGATCCTCATTTGCTGAAAAGAATCTTATCAATATTAATAGAGCAAAAGGGAAAAAAAAATTTTCAAGGAACTTTCTTTAAAAAAAAAATCCTGTAATATCAAAGGTGCTCTGTCAAGACCTGGTATGTCTTAGACATTATGCAGTTTTTAAACTAAGTTGCAGTTTTTAAACTAATTTTACCACAGCTCTTATATCTGAAAACTACATTTTTTCTAGTATGTAGTAATTGATTTAATATGATACACATGGTTACATGGAAACAAACTTCCTCTCCAGTGCAAGGCCTGGTAGGAATGCTTGTGTTAATGCTTTGGACTCTCCATTGCATAGTATAATCTTTGCACTGTATTGTATAATTTTTGCACTTTCCAAACATGAACTATTACGACCCCACTGCAAAGTGCAGTATCCCTGTGTAACTTCTGGTGTTTGCCACAACTTAAGTTCCTTGCATTACTTTTTCAACATTCAATCTTTTTCCCTTTGCAAGATTTTCAATTGATCCCCTTAGGACAGGGGTGGGCAAAATGCGGCCCACTGGCCAGATGCGGCCCGCCAGGCCATTCTAGCCAGCTCGTGGAGCCCCTAAACATTTTAGAAAATAAATATTTATCTGCCCTTGGCTGCTTATAATGCAGCCCTCGATGGCTTGCCAAAACTCAGTAAGTGGCCCTCCACCTGAAATAATTGCATGCCCCTGCCTTAGGACAAGGGCAGGCCTTTTATCAAACAAGGTTTAAACCATGCTCTACTGAAAGAGACCTCTCCTCTCATGGGAAATATCCAATTTTTTCAGAGGTAAGTTATCAACCCTATGCAAAAAGAGGACACAGGCAAAGGCCAATGCCACAGCTGAAGTGTCTAGGCTAGCTTCCTATCTCCAAGCTTCAGCTGATGCTAGGGGCTTCAGAAAAAGGTAGGAGAGCCAAATGGTACATATGGAAAGGCCACGTAGATGGAGAAAAAGACCTGAGTATGACACCCACGACCAGGGCCCAATTGTCAGCAGCCATGCCACCGACAGCAAAAGAAATTATATTAAAACTGTTTCTTGTTCCCCTTCCCTTTCCCTGTGTCTGTTCTCACACTGCGAGCTCCTCAGGGTAGGTAAGGTTAGAGACTGCTGGAAAGGTCATCACTACTACTACTGAGGGCGGCGCTGGGGAGTGGAAATCATTCTCTCAGATAAGTCCATCTGCAGTGCAGATGGGATCCCTTGTTCCTCATTTTTTCCCCTTCCCCCCTCCACAATGCTCCTTCGGCTCTGAGTGCCATTAAAATTGAGGGTAATGGTTTTGGACTTGCCTAAGTGATATAAGAACCTAAGCGCTGAACCTTCCTCCCAAGGGACTGAAGCATTTCCAAAAACGTGAGCCCAATGCTCTACGTTGCCAAAAAAAAAAAAACAGATGGAGAGAGGAAGGGCAAAG